GGACTCTGACTTCGCCACCATCTTTAAAGCTCTAGACACTGAGTCGGCGGCTGGGGAGCTGTTCCCGCCCCCATGGAGGGAAAGCCTGGCTAACCGGTTCCTCAGGGACCCATGCAGACGTGTGCGCCTGCGCCTCCCTCCAGGGTCCAGTGCCCTCCCCTCGGCTCCGGGCGCGCGGGAGCCGGGATCGCGCCTGCGCCACCCCTCGCAGCCTGTGGGAGTGGATCCTGCGCTCCGTGGAGCGGTCGCTGCCCTCGCCGGGCCACTGCAGTTACCGTGTAGTAGCCCATGGAGAGGGCGATGACCGTGAACCAGAACAGACTGCCCCTCTGGAAGTAGGCCGCCTCGCCTGCCGCCGTCCCCATGGCGGGAGCAGCTCTCCAGGGCCGCGCCGCGCAGCACCGCTCCGCGCGGGGTGGGGGCGTGGCTGGGGGCGTGGCCTCGGCGATGCTGCCGCCTCAACCCAGGAGAGAGGTTTCTGCTAGTTTGGAAAGTCCGAGAGCAGGAGCGAGTCTCCACCACCTCGCCAAGAACTTGGAAGGTTGTTTGACTTGCAGGGGGATCCCTTCTTGTCACTTTCCTGGGTCTTAAATTGAAAGTGTGGGACTAAATGGTGCTTTCCGGCTCTAATAATCGAAGTCTGATTTTTGAACTTCGGGTCTGTGCCGTATGTCTGTGCCTCAGTTTTCCTATCTGTAAAATGGGGTGGATTAAATGAGGTAATACCTGTACAGCATTCAGAACAGTGTCTGGCACACGGTGCTTTGTAAATTTTGGTTGTTAATACTGCCAAGCCTTTTAGTGTATGTGCCAGGCCCTGTGCTGCGTGTTGTACTATCACTGCGAGATTTAGAAGAGGCACAGATCGATCTGAGGTGGCTTCTCATTAGGCTTCATGAGGTGTTTCACCTGGAGCTTAAAAACGGGTAAAAACAGTAAACAAATATGTTCAAGGCATTGTTCTAAGCACTGAGTTTCTGTTAGAGATGATGGAAAATTTTGGAAACATAGTGATGACGGTTGCACAGCATAATGAAAGTAACGAATGTCATTGGATTATACACGTTAGAAATGTTGACACGGCAAATGTTACACATTTTTACCACAATAATAATAATAATAAACATGTAAGGAAAGACTGAAAATTTAACTGCATCCAAATTAAAATCTACATTCTTAGGAAAGACCATAAATAAAATTGAAAGACCTGAAAGAAGGAATTTTCAATACATATAATAGGTAAATGAGTAGAGGATATGACTTGAGTATCCCCAAAATAAAAAACTTGAATGGCCAAGAAATATGAGAAGTTGTTCAACCTTACGGGCAATTCTAGAAATGCAAAATGAAGCGAAAACAAGACTATTTTTTCCCAGAAGATCAGCCTACCAGGTGTCAAGACACACACTATAAGGAGCCATAATAGTTAAAAATATCTGTTATTTGATACACATATGACAAATAGATTAGTAGAAAAATGATACAGACTCCACAGATAGATTTGATATATCCAAGCATTTGTTTTATGATAAAGGTAACATGTCAAATAAAAAGGAAAACAATGGACTTGTCAGTAAATTATTTTGGGACATTTAAGGTTATCTATTTTGGAAAAAAGCATTTTAAACTCTATCCCACTTCCTCCAAGCGCAAATAACAAATAATGCAGTAATACATGGGACAGAGATAATAGTACCTCCACGGGAGTTCAGACGAGATGGATGTAAGAGTAGGATGCGCATGTGCTGAGATACAGAAAGAAAAAAAAAAAATTTCCCCAGGATCCTAGGATGGGGATGGGGGATTCTTAAACAAAAACAAATGTATGGAAATATGAATATAAATTGTGTGTCCGGAGAATTAGCAGCAGTTGATTTGTTGCTAGAAGAAACATTATGAAATAGAATGAAGAAAGGTGAGTCTGGAAAGATAGGTAGGGTCCTCTTCCTGAATGGCATTAGGTAACAAACGGAGGAGTTTGGATGTGACCCCTCATCCAGGGTGAGTCAGTGAAGGTTATTTTCAAGTAATGGAATGAAGATGTATGGTGGTGTTGTGGAGAATACGCTGTGTGCGAGTAAACAGAGCACCCGAGTGAGAACAAGCAAAGGCTACTTATTCATAGCTGTATATAGCAAGGGAGTCCACCATCACTTGGGTTTGGCAGAGACTTCAAAGCAGGCAGGGGAGTTGGAAGCTTTATAGTCAAAAAAAGTGAAGGCTTCCGTTATGCTCTCATTGGAAGTTGTTGGCATGGGGAAGCTGGAGGCATCCTATGTGACCAGTTAGGGAAGCATATTTGACTTTCTTCTCTTGGTCCTACATTGGAAACCGGGGCAAAAAGTAGGAAACTGGCGGTTATTGATCTAACCCTGGCCATTTTGGGATGATAGCTGCAGAGGTTGTGATTTGGCTTTCTAGGCTGGCTGCTGCAGGTTGTGGGTCAGAGTTCTGTGTTTATGTATATCCTGGACGTTGCCCGTTTGTATACTCAGTCTCCCAGTTGGATGGAGGTAAAATTGGAAGCAGGGACAACAGGCAAGGGGAAAGCTTGATAAAGCAGTATTATGGGGAATGGAGAAAAATCACAACATTCATTCAAATATTCAAGTGATATTTCTGGGGGCACATTTAGTGTTTGGCGCAAACCTGTGAACAAGACAAACGCAATCCTAGCCCTCAGGTTGGGTTGAGTGTAGTTCAGATGACAGGCAAATCAACAGGGGTATACTGATACAGCGACCGTAACTTAAGGCTTTAATGCAAATTATTGTCTTCCCCTTACAGCGGTGAGCTCCTTTATTCAGGGGTTGCAAACAGAAGTGCCTTCAGGGCATCAAATTAACAAATGAAAGGAGTAGGGATAATCCAATAGGGTGTGGTGGACCTCTGGAAGAAGCTGAGTGCGTTTAACCTGCCAAGAAATACTTTAAATTCAGATGATATGAGGACAGTGAGAAGCAGGTTTTAGGCAGGAATTTGGTCCTGTAGGGCGTTTGTTTTTTATATGTGCTTGGGAAGTGGTTAGAGTAGAGGTGGCACAAAGTAAAAACTCAGTAAGTATTAGCTGTTGTTCTACTGCTGCAGTTCAGTGAGCTAAGTGCTGTGATATAGGAGAAGGAGGCCCGCAAGTGGCTAGAATTCAACTTGAGAAAATACAAATTCATTGAACAGGCAGATTGCATGAAGTCATGTCAAGAAACCCAATGTGCTAAGAGCCCATTTGCCAGATCACCAGTTTGCCAAATTT